TCTATGCATTTCTGGTTATAATAAGGTACTCTGTGACAAAAACTGTGTGATGATTGTGAATGAGCCACAGATTAGAGAATTTTTTTAAACTCTCGTTAACCAAAGAAAGCTAAGAGATTTAGGTTCTATAGCCATATAATCAGTAGCTTCATTTTTTTTATGTTTTTAAGATAACCATATTTTAGATTTTTAGTGTATCACACCTTTAAAATTTATTTATTTATTAATTTATAGTCAGGCAACCCATAGATAGATACCTTAAAGTCTACATATATACAGATTATAATGTGTTTATGGAGGTGTTTGGCGAAAAACGTATGGCAATAGACTTTATGATGTCGCCTACCATCTATAATAATTGTCTGAGCACATTTGCATGTAGTGAAAATGATAATATAGTTGTGGATATTAATACCACAGTGTAATAAAAAAATATTTATTTTATGGATCTTTACAAAATAGATTTGTTTTTTTGTTATATAAACAACTTCGATTAGTCTTTGGCTGAATGTTACTACACCCATAGCCATTAAAAATGATTCGTATGTTTTCCAAACCGGTAAAATTAAAAGTCCTTTTTAAAGTAAATATATTATACAAAGGTGTGCGTTGAAAGCTAATGACTGTAAATTAAATTATAAATTACGCCAAGAATTACCGTGTATGTCAATATTTTTTGTGCATTTGATCCAATTTGAGCAATCTCCTTTATCTTTTTACCCGGCTGCGCAATGCAAGTGGGTTATGTGTTTAACAGTCTATATATGTATGTTTGTTCCTTTGTGGCACACTAGAGACCAAACGCCTGGACCGATTTTGATGATTCATACATCAATCGATTCGTCTCAATCATGGAAATGCTACTAAAGATATGATAGTAATCATAATTTAATATGGGCAAAATTAGGCGCCATATTGCGACGAAGTAAAAAAAATAAGTTGACAAAATATGTCGAGTGGGGTATCACTGTCTAGATAATCAAAAATCATATTTAGGTTTCTAACACCATTTTTCATTTTTTATGATTGTTTAGGATCTACAACGCTTTAAAGTTGTATATTAACCACTTACGCTTTTAATTTCAATCTTACATTTGTATGGATCTTTGTTACTCTTTCACCTAAAAAATACTGAATGGATTTTAATGAAACTTAACAGTAATATAGCTCATATATGATAATTACATATATATAATAATTTATGTAGTTATTGAGTGAATTGGCCATATATAACAATAAGTGTCACATAAGACGGAAAAAAAACTCCCATCTGCAAGCCATTTTGGCCTGCACTGCAAAAACAATAAAAGTTAGGTACATGAATGTAATGTAGAGTGAAAATGTATCTCTTAAATAGTTCTAAAAAAAAGTCCGTGACACCATATATCTATTTTGAATGTGTAAGTTATTACCGCTAAAATAGTGAATCAAAACTAAAATATTATTTGATATCTGTTTCCAAAATGCATATTTTGTATTAACAAATCATTTTTTATCAAAACTAATACTTTTATCGCTTTTGATATTTAAAGACGATAAACTTTGCTTTTTACACTATGTCATTTCGACAAATATTTAAAAAGTTACAACGATGACAAAGTGATAGCGCGGTGTACTATGTAAAAGAAAATAAAATGGGGTATTCGCGGTATCTGATCCTATACGAAGTACTGACAATATAACTGTGATACAGTTCCTTCTTATTAAATGATGAAAAATATATTATCATAATAGGTATTTATGATTATTGAATTTTAATGAAAAACTCAGAATTTTACTGTTTTTCATTTTTTTTAACGATATTACTTAATGTTACAAAAAAGGTTTACTTAATATAATGACAAATAACCCATTTTTCTCTAGTAAGTACATACTTATTGGAATCCTTGTATTTATTAATCAGCTCGCGATAATATTTGATTTGTAATAATTCTGCAAAATTCAAAGTAAATAATGTAGATTTTTATAGGTAAATCACCCCTTTCATCACCCTACGCCTATAAGTATTGCGATGTTGTAGCTAAGAACCAAGTTCCCCTCTCCTTCTATATGGGAATTCATTATATTCGATTAAGCTATTATTAGGGCACAGAAGCGCAACAAACAAACTCACTTTCGCATCTATAATATTATATTATACTTATTAGTGATCCACCCGGGCATTGTACGGGCGAAATTTATTTATCGGGATAAAATATATATGTGACATAGGTCTCACTCGGACAAAATGTATTTAAATAAAGAAAAATGTAATAATAAATAATGTAGCTACCTTATGATGAATTAATATTTGAAACCGGTTCAGTAGTTTGACAGATTATTTGTTACAAATATACAAATCTTGCCTCTTTATAATATTAGTATAGATAGTTAGGATAAGATAAGACAGTATTTAATTGATGAAAAAGATTTAAAAATAAAGTAAGTAATAGGTTTATTTGATTATATTTGTAAAAGTTACTTAGCATTTGTGCTTAACAGTGATACGTTATTCGGTATTTTTTTAAACAAAAAAAAAATTGGAAAATAATTGCCATGATTGCACTATTGGGAGTACTCTTCATTCGAGCTTTACACTCACTACCAATAAAAAAGGGTCGAACACAAAGTCTTTAACCTGTTAAATGTGAACGCTTTAAAAGAAAACTGCAAAGAGAACTATAAATTGATAATAAATGAGATTGCTATGGTGCTCTACCTAACGTTATGAAAATTTTATTATGCGCCTTTAGTATAATCAAATATTATAAACTTTGCTTTGGTAATTGCATAATTATTTAATTTAGTGATCTAAGGCAGTTGCCACCATTGTCCAAAACAACAGACGGGAATTACTGCTTTCTTCAACCTGCGACATAAACGTCATTGATTGGTATTGTATATAGGGTGATTAAAAACATTTGAAGTTAACTTCTGGCATCTACATATTGGGTTTCTGTGAATTATGTAGGTATATCAAATTATGAGACTAGGGACTGACACTGAATTTGTGTACATCACAATCTTAGACGTCCGGCATTGACATGACAATGCAGCCACTGCCAATTTTAAATAGTTGACGAATAAAAGTAAATGAATTTTATAGCACAGTGTGACCTAAACTCGCACTTTACGCACGCTTTTCCGTGACCTAAGTTGCCTATTTCTGCACGGTGTGTAAATGAATTGACCAACTTCACTCATGTAGAATTAATACTAACGATACGCGTAACTTAACTATACTATGCCAATCAAGGAATAAACGTTCATAGATACATTGAAATTCTATTTTGTTGTAATGATATTTGATTTTTTCCTTTTGAAATATACTTTCAAAATGGTAATCTGAACCGGAATTCTTTCTTTTCAGAGTTTGACTTGCAGTCTGTATAGCAATTCTTTGTGATTGCAATACATGAATTTTACTTTCAAAACACTAATTGCATCCCCCCTCTTGCTCGCGTTGTCCGGGGCGGGTTTATGTCACACTTGCTATAAAATAGTATACAATACTTGTGGCCTAAGTTGTCTATTACTGCACGACGTGAAGTTAGCGCCCGAGCGGAGCGAGGATAATAGGCAACTTAGGTCACGCGTATCGTAATGTACTATTATATTTACTGCTAAACTATTAAAAAAAAAACATAAACAAAAGATGACTTTTTGAGTAAGTGCTAGTTTACTATAAAATTTACATAAATTAGAGATATTTATGTAACGACTTGATTTAACTTCACACATTTTTGCGAAAATTGAGGCCCATCTGTAGCCTTGACCTCGCTGGTAAAGTCTTTATATGTCTTAATAAATCAATCTTTTAGACCGACGCAAGGTACTTAATAATCTCCGCGATAGTAATTCCCTTACTGAAGTAACAAGACTACGGTATATACCGTCTTAAAATACTAACTAACTAAAAAGTGTGAAATAAAAAAGGTAAATTTAAAAAATCAAAAAACCCGGCTGCTTAATTATACTTCAAATAAAAACTGAAAAGAAAAAAACAAGTCCAGTAGTCTATAATTCTGTTAATAAGGAACAAAGCTACTTTAACAGTCGGGACCCACTGTTGAAAAATATTATGTATTCTTGAATATCTAATGGGTCCCGACTGTTAAAGTAGCTTTGTTCCTTATTAACAGAATTATAGACTACTGGACTTGTTTTTTTCTTTTCAGTTTTTATTTGAAGTATAATTAAGCAGCCGGGTTTTTTGATTTTTTAAATTTACCTTTTTTCTTAAACTTCATATTATTAACAACACAACGTAATCTGAGAATATTAACTTCCATAGCGTACGTTCTTTAAATTTTTGGTCAATAAATGTAAGCACAACGTGTGCTTTGAGTTCGTGACAAGGCATCAGCGGACATTTTAACACAACTCAGGGACTTTTGTCCTCCATGGACAGAAAAATAATACCAAAGAATTTAAGATTATTTTTCTGGTAACTTCTTACCATACTGAGTTTTGTTAATTATTACGATTAAAAGATTGAAAAAAAAACAGAAAAATAATTTATTGATTATTTTTACTCTCTCTGTATTTTATGTTTATAGAAATTAGTTCTTGCTTTTCCTACCATCGGGACAGTGTTATAATATAATATTTATATATGTCGTTATTAAGATAATAAACATTTTGAAAAAAAAAACTAGTACTTAATATTTTTTTAATACATTGCGTTATATTATAAAAAAAACTACATAGACATGTGTACAGGCTAAAAATTTTTTTTACGCAATTAAAAAAAATCGTATTTATCATTTTATTAGATATTTATTTGTACTGAAATCAAAATAATGATATAAAATAAGTTATTCTTTTATACCTGACATGAGCAGATTTGCTAGTAAGAAAGCCCTTTCTTAGTAGCAAATCTGCTCATGTCTGCTTTCTGCGTGCGCGTTTTCATTCACATAAGACGGTGTTAGCCCTAACACCGTCTTATGTGAATGAAAACGCGCACGCAGAAAGTAAGGGGCAGGTCCTACGCTAGAACCAACCGCATTCAGAAGGTAACCACGAGGCGTTATCGACATATATACAGCACTATACAAGGTGTTAATTATTTAACATTTCACTATACTATTATTTTTGGACAGTGTAATATTAGTGATTAAGTGTTAATGTGATGTTTGAATATTTGGAGTGATTTTTTGATATTTTAGACGGTTGGTATTGTTTTTTTTTCCTCTTCGTTTTCTTAGGAAATTGTCAAGATACTGAATATTGAAAACTTTTCATGAAAGACAATATCAACAGTGTTGCGTATGAAAACTTTATGTATTATACCTTTTTGACAAATTGCCATAAAAGTTGTAGTGTCTCACGGTGTCCATTTATTTATTTAGTCAGCTTAGTCTTAATTTATGTCAATCGAAATTATTGAAATAGCTTACAAAATAAAATAATCTATAAATAATGTCAATTACAGAATAAAATGTCAATCAAAATACAAAAGGATAAAATATCAATCAAAATACAATAGAATAAAAATGTCAATCAAGTGTAGAATACAAATCATAAAACTATACTGTCACTAGCTACAATTATTACCTACATAAATATTCTTTTACACTGTAAAATATTCTATCATATAGCGAACTGTACAAAGGCAGTCTTAAATTTCTTAAAAAGCATTTGTGTTGTATAAGTTGGCACCTTATTGTAAAGGATACACATCCAATAACATTTTTTTTAACCGCATGCTTTTTGGAATGATGTCAGAAACCAATGTATTCCCATTTCGTGTATTTCGTGGATATATATATCTACAGCATGTCTGAAACAGTGCATATTTAGCCTTACAAATTTAGCAACATCAAAAATGTATAGGTAAGGCTATGGTAATATTTTTAAATGTTTAAATATTGGTCTGCACGGATCATCAGGCGGAGTTCCACATATATATCTGAAACATTTTTTTTGTGTAATGAAAGCCCTTTTTGCTTTTATACTATTTCTCCCCATAATAATACTATATCTCAGAACTGATTTTACGTATGCAATATAGGCTGTAAGAGCAGTATTCTTTGTAGCTATTCTCGTCACCGTATAGAGAGCAAATATGAAACGGTTAATTTTATTACATAAAGTATCCACATGTGTTTTCCAATCTAACTTTTGATCAATTTCTATGCCTAAGAATTTGGTTGTATTTGCATTTTTAAGTTTTTGTCCTTGGTTATAGTTTTATAATTTTCGTGGAAAATATTTGCACATACGGATTCTGTCTTTGATGGACGAAGGAACACTGATAAGGTTAAATAAATAATTGCTTATATATTCGACAGCACTACTAACCGTGCAATACCTACTGAAAAAACTTAGGAAGTTCCGTGTTGATAATCTGACATTGATTCAATGCCATAAGAAATTAGAATGTAATGCATTTTATGTTATGTAAAAGCATTGACTCTCCAATAATTGATGTCAAAATTGAAACCTTGAAGATGTTAGATGTAAGGATTAAAATCGACTAACAAGATTTGGAGGCTTTGTACCATGATGTATCGTTGACCGTTCATATGGGCGTCTGTTTATATCCGTTTCTAAAGCTAGTTCGTATTTTAAGTCTTATTAGATTTTGATATATAGGTTCTAAAGCAAAAATCTATAATTTTTTAAAAAGCTAAAATTTCTCGAGATTTTTCTTTATAAATAATCGTGTTTACACGCTAATAAAAATGATATAAAAATACAGGTACAGCATTATACTCCATAAGTATTTTATTAACAGCCTCAGGGCCTTAAAATGATACAATTTTATTTGATTCTTAGTACCGGATGAAAAACTCGTATAAACCACAGTTAGTGAGATATAAGAAATAGAGGTCTCATTTCCTATTTTTTTACCGTTTTCCATGAACGATATACGTACGAATTTCTGTTAACGTTCTTTTGAAAGTAACAGTACCCTTAGCACAAACCAATATCGAATTCAATATTTTGCGAGTCTAAAATGTCATTGCCAAAAGTGTACTGATTTTTAGTTCTCTTTACGTACGTTTAGGCGCTAATGTTCAAGTTTTCATATAAAATTTGACAATGACATTTCGGACTAGCAAACTATTTGAATTCGATATTGGTTCGTGTTAAGGGTACTTAATAGTTGCGGATACGACATTTGATATAAAAATAAATATAGAATTGTGAATATAATGATTGCATGTAATGGCTAAACCTGACATTGTTACTTGTAATAACTTGTAATAATATATCAATGTGAATTATATTATTATAATTATTATAGCAATTGTTATTTTTATAAATGGCTCAGCAATAAAGGGTGTAACTCTACACTTATATAAGTTTAAGCGTTAGATTATGTCAACTTTCAGGTGGAGGAACCATGAAAGGAGTCATAACTTAACGCTTGCTTTAGTAACATGTTGCCTGTTTCATTCTATCACTATAATAGAGAAAGTAACAGGTACAACTTTTATGATCTTTTGAGATAACATGACTGCCAAAAGAGGATTGTCAAGTTTTCAGGCATTTCTATAATTTAACATAACTTCTAAACGTTTGAACATTTTTGTATGTAACATATAAATGGCTTATTAATGTGTTAATTATTTAACATTTCTCTTATCGTAATCTTTAATAATATGTAGGGTGTACAGAAAACTTTTCAAATTTTATTAGTCATTTCATTTTAATTGCAAAACGTTCTCAAAAACTTTCGAAATCAAATTCCAAGTCTTTCAAGGGCCTTCTGTGATTATAATGTATTCCAAAGACCGGTCTTAAACCTTAAATTTTCACTTTTTGAACTTGTTTTTTGCTCTTTTTAGTAGGTTAGTTTTATGGTTACTGTTACCCAACGTGTACCCAACCAGGTTTATCGGCTAAATATGAGATAAATCAATTACATGACAAATTCAATTTGTTTTTATTCTAATTCGTTTTGATGACCTCTTTTGAGTAGTCAAAATGTTTAACCATAAAAATTGAAAATAAGCATCATACAAAAGAATGTAACAACACTTACTAAAACATATTATGATGTTTAAAGAAAATTTTACTAGAAAAACTTCAGGGAGTTTCAGTAATAGGAAGTTTAAGTTACGCAATATCATGTATAACGGAATTGTTTCTCTTTAGAAGCTCTAAAATAAAGTCCGCAACAGCATAATATTATTTACACACAGGGCACAGCTAGTCATGATAACGAGAAATGTAATCGTCCTCGTTCCCGGTTTTCGTGGCATAACATAAGTACCCTATCTTGGGCCTTGGGATCAGTTTCATGTATGCTTTGTGATGTTATCCAATATTTGTTTGATAGTTATTCCAAACTGCGGCGTTTGATTTCAAAATTCAAATATTGGGAAACGAAATTTTTATTACCTTCAAGCCTACAGACGCGGCAATAACGCTTGCATATTTTAGATTATTAAAAATTAATGAGTTACATAAAGCTTTGAATTTTTATGAGAGATATATGGCATAGTGTGTTTGGGGAAATCAACTCCACCTTATAGGACACCCTAGTGAAATAATACTACCTCCCGGCAGGGCCGTCTTTGTCCTATTGGAGGCCCTGGGCATATTAGGATAATGGGGCCTTTATGACTTTGATGTGGACTATGACTTGAAATGAAGCGAGTCATACTGATGAGTGTACTACTGATGATTTTTCATTAAAATGTGCATGTGCTTAGTATACCGAGAGAGTAGAATAGCTTCGCTTATGTAAAAGCTAGTGAGTTGGTATTGTAGTCAGTAATTTAGGTTCGATTTCATCGAATTATATAAGTTTTTTGGTAATAAATATTGGCTATCGTTTGGGGATCTGGCAGGAACTAGGGACATTGTATTTGATCTGAGGGAGGCCCCTATCGATCGCGGGGCTCTGGGCACTTGCCCAAAGTGCCCACTGGGAAAGAGGGGACTGCTCACTGGTGGTGTGTTTCTGTCGGTGAGTTAGGTTCCAGGGCTATACGGGGTAAGGGATTAAGTCAGGGTAGGCAACCTGCTAGTGATAGTACTACTCTGCACGGATTTTCAGGCTATGGTGGTTGTTTACCATCAGGGGGTCTATATGCTTATTTTTTGCACTTTTTAAATTAAAGAAATACCTTTCTGAAAGTCCGTTCTAAACAATCATCATCATCATCAGCCTATTAATGTCCCCACTGCTGGGGTACAGGCCTTCCCTATGGATGGAATAGGGAGATGGGCCATGACCCACCACGTGGGCCCAGTGCGGATTTGTGGGTTCTAACGACCGCAGATGCAGCCAGGACTAACGGCTTAACGTGCCTTCCGAAGCACGGAGGAACTCGAGATAGAACATTTTTGGCCACCCATCCAATGACCAATCACTGCGAAAGTTGCTCAACTTCAACGATATCAGCCGAACGCGCTAACCATCCGCGCCATCGAGCCCTCGTTCTAAATAATGGTGAAAGATTTTTTGAAATCTTTTGAGTTGTTTTGAAAGATAACACTATACATCCAAACTCACAAACTTTATCTCAATACAATATATATTATATATATTTATAACGCTTATTTATTTATTACATTTTAAGTTGATGTTGGGTAATATTATATTGTGATGTAGAGAATTCGATAGTTGGTAGAGTAGGCCCATCAGAATCCGATCATCCATCCCATCCCATCCCTGGCTGCATCTCGACGCGGCCTCGGATTCTGACCTCCTGGTCGAATGGATGGGAAAGATAGGGAGAGGAGAGGACGGTGTAACGATAGTAAGAGGCGAAAAGGAAGAGGAGAGGAAACGAAACGAAACATAAAATAAATAAAACGTTTAGTATACACATTTTGTTTATGTTTATTATAGCAAAGGCATTAGCCTTACGGGGTCTCGCCATTCTATGATGTATTTAGTTCCTAGACTAACTACTTAAAAAGCTATAAGTATCTAGAAATATCAACGCTACATTTGGCAATGATGTTACCGGAAACAATTTTTGATTGCTAGTTTTAATAAGTACAGGTACCTGGTACTCGGTTACTTTATTACTTAACGAAACCAACCATGCGAACGGACGGAATGCGCCAATCAGCCTAACCAGTTTTTATTTGAAAATCCGTCTATCGTAGATTAAAATTAAACAGCGCGAAAAAAGTATGTGGCCAGTTACTAGAGGACGTTTCTCCAAAATTGCCTTTCTCCAACTGACTTTTGGTTTCATCTACCTTGATTTATGATTCACTAGCTGTGCCCCGCGGTGTTATCCGCAGTTTATTAGGGATATTTTTCTGCAGTAAAACGTAGCCTTTGTGTTAATTCCAGGGTGTCAGCTAACTCCATACCAAAATTTTATGAAAATTGCTCCAGCTGTTTAGTAGGTGAAGATGTAACATGTGTATGTTACACACTCACAAACATGGAGTAGGATAGGATGAAAAGGGATTTGAGGCTGTAAAGGAGATTCGAGGGTGAAAAGAGAATCGAGGATGAAAAGGGGATTGAAGGGTGATAATAAGGGATTAGGAAGTCAAAGTGGGGATTGATGGGTGATAATGGGGGATTGCTGGGTGATTGTGGGGATTGATGTGTGAGGGAGTGGGGTGGATCTGGGAACACCCCTCTGGTACTGGTCGGGCTTTGGCGTCTATCTCCTCGGATGGGTGGGACGGGCGCGGTGAAGGAATGCCAGACAGACCATAACGCGTTACGTAACGAAGTTATCACTTCAAAAATGTTTGTTATATTGTAAATATAGTGGTATGGGAACGAGAGAGTTCATCATTAATCTAAAACTTTATCACAATGAATGAAGTATAAGAAAAATCCTTAACTTTTTAATCTACTCGTAGCTTCACCACAAAATATACTATGAAAAACTCCGGAGAATTCACAATGAATTCGTTTGTATTACACCACCATAACATGTTACTCAGGAGGCAGGTAGTAAAAATGTATTGCTATAGTATACTATAGTTTGGTTATATGCGTTAACAGCGCAGTTAAACCGAGGTCGTTACAGGGTCAAACGATTTAATATAGTCAAATTGATGCGTTTCAAAAAAGGCTTAGGTATTCAAATCAAAAAGTTGTACACGGCTTTCGATGTAGAAGGCTTTAGGTACATGATAACGGGCGTGAGAGAACTCTCGTAGCATCGTGTAAAGTTGTAAATTGTTGGCAATTCATTAATATTTATTTTCGAAACCAATTTTGAGATTTTGCTTTGCTAATGTGAAAATCGTGATTCAATAATGGTTCAATAATATTGCTTTTTGACACAGTTTTTGTTACGAAAAATAAATCTAAAGCCATATTTGACACAGTTCTTGTTAATAAAACATAAAATTATAAATGCATATACATAAATATTATGTAGATTACAATAACAAATGAGTATGCAAATAATAGTGATTTTGTGTTTAAGTAATAATAACTAGGACAAAAATTCAAAACTTCTGAAACTCCATTGACGCAAGATTATTATTATTTTAACTTAGTAGAATCGACACTCCAAAGTATTATAACACACACCTTGGACAACCTGGAAAAAGTTTTTGGCGGGATTTCATCGAGTGCGGTTGGCGTCTTATTTTAATTATTCTTAAATTCGTTCATAGTCGATATTGTGAAATAAAATTGGTGTGATTTTGAGTTACAACCATCTGCGCATCTGAAGAATTAGTGGCATCTTTCAAATATACGCTATTTCGGTCAAGTGGACTTGAGAACTTTATTGTAGTGCTGACTACACAGAAGCTTATCGAAAAAACCAACTCGATACATTTCATGCCAAATACTCCAAGAAACGATAGAATGCGTTACACCGACATACTAATGTAAAGAAAAAGATTCAGATTTGTATTAATGTATACGACTGAAGGACTTGTATCCATGGTCATGAATAAATTATAAAAAAAAAACAACCTGGAAACTATACAAACTTAACAGACATCAATTTCACATGAAATTAAGTGACACTGATGTTTGCAGATACTGCAATTAGGAGCGTGAAACACCAAAACACCTTCTATGTGAATGTGGGCCTCTTGCAGGGTTGCCAGATGACCGGGCTTTCCGGGATTGTCCTGGAATTTTGCGTGTTGTCCCGTGTCCAGTAATTAGACCTTCTTGTTCCGGATTCCGATAATGTGCTAGTTTCGTAACAAAATAAACTAATAACGAATGACACCTGCTTGATGTTTTAATTCTCGGGGATGATGGGGGGGTTTGATTTGATGCTTTATTTTTTCAGACGGGGTGGTGGAAATGTCCCGGAATTGCTAAGCCATCGTCTGTTTTAATTCTGGGGGGTGATGGGGGGTTTGTTTTGATACTTTATTTTTTTAAGGGAGGAGGGGTGCAAATGTCTCGGAATTGATAAGCCAGCATCTGGCAACCCTAGCCTCTTATTCACAAACATAGTATGCATTTGGAACGACATATAATACGCCCAGAGGAAATCAAGTCTCTTAATGCTGGAAACGTTTTGAGCTTCTTGGAAGCTGTCGGGCTAAAAGAGATACTTTAAATTGGTGGCGAGTCACAATAGATCTTATAGGTCGCAATGACTACAGTACCATTAGGACTGCATAGACCCAAAAATATGAAAGAATAATAAATAATTCGTAATCCTGATCCTATCCTTTATTTGTACAGCCTTGAAACCTTACTCACTAACTCAACTTACAGAAACAGTGTGTTAAAAGCCCTTTCACTTTTTTTGCAATAAATCGTAATTTTTGAGCGCAGCGTTTACTCCCTTAGAAAAGATTTTGTCTATTTCCAATTGCAGTAGACAGTAGATTTATTCTTCCTATTGTAAGTTAATGTAGAATATTTGCAAATACTATTTTCCTTTTTTTTGTACTGATCGTTCTACTGCAAAACTGATCGTTCTACTCTAAATTACTACAACATCAGAAATATGTTTTTGTTGTAACATAATGTATTAGAATTTTGGTTTTCCATCTCATTAATTATCAAAAAAAAGAAACATCTAACCTCCGTGAGTTTTCCCAAAAAATAATGCAGGTTTACCTCTCATTTTGATATTGAATTAAATAGAATTACCATCAAAAACTTCCATTAAATTAATCTTACATCATTGAACTACTGAAATATGAATATATTTTTATAATTAGTTCATTAATAATTATTTTATAAGACTCGAAACATCACCCGTCGCGCCGATCAGTACGGCAGCGGCGCAATTTTGTAAAAGGGCTCATGACTGTGTTTCTCTGTAAGGTCGAGGTTATTCCCCAGTCGGGATCTCCAACTCGCCATGACGTTTCTTAAAACTTCCTAAACAATCACATTAACTCTTTATTTTTTTTTCACAGTCAGTGATTGCCTTTCAAGATGAGACGTCGATTTTGTCAACTGAATTTGGGCGCAGTGAATAGTAAGCGAAATATCACCACAACCGCCCAGTGTCAGCAAGCTGATGGATTAGAATTAGGTAGATATTAATCTAATACATTTTTATTTTTAGCACTAAACTGCTGGATTGAAAAATAACCACTCAGTACAGATTCCAGACATCAATATTCTTGAACACTCGAGTCGTTTTTATGGCCACCTGCACCAAAATACTCAAACCAAATTTAAAATTTTTAGTAGTATTTTTTGTGATAAAGTTACGAGGAGTATAAAACTACTTTAAGGATTTTTTTCAATAATTCATTGCGGCAAAGTTTTTTATTATATTATTAATGCACTCTTTTGTTTCCATGACATTATATGTATTTACAGGATTTTAGCCGCTCAATCATGTTCGACACAAAACCTTCCATCATAATAAATTGTTTAAAGTCAAATAAAGAAAAATGGAGGAGAACGATGGAGCGTTCGGCTGGGAACGTTGAAGTTAAGCAACTTTCGCAGTGGTCGGTCATGGGATGGGTGACCAAAAATCTTCTATCCAGAAATTCGTCCGTGCTTCGGAAAGCACGTTAAGCCGTTGGTCTCGGCTGCATCTGCAGTCGTTAGGACCCGCCAATCCGCACTGGGCCCGCGTGGTGGGTCATGACCCAATCTCCCTATTCCATCCATAGGGAAGGCCTGCGCCCCAGCAGTGGGGAAATTAATAGGCTTATGATAATGATGATGATGTCATCATGTGTATGGAGAGGTGTAAGCTAGGCTACGGAGAGTTGACCACGCACGCACAGCGGCGCGGTTAGGGAGCTTGTCCGGATGCGAAACGATTAAACAGTAGGGAGTTTCATACAAAAAATACTGAAGGGCTCGAGTTGATACGGTTACGATCCCTTTTCGAGTCGATATGTGTGCTACGTTATCATAGTGAAGTAGGTACCAAAAATGTTATTAGATGATATTTTCATATCCATAAATTCTGTGTATATTTTCGGTTGGAGGATTAAAAGGCTCATGTCTTCCTGCCCCTAGATATACCAGACAATACAGGTTAGGCTTGTTTTCGTTATAATTCGCCACCACTGCTTAACTTTATTCTACAAAAGTGCATGGTCAACTTATGTCAAAATGTAAACTTATTATAGCTTTGGCGGCAAACGTGTTGCCTTTCGAAGCGGAAATTAAACGTACAGGATTACCTTTTTTATCATTTAAAGTTTAAGCTATCCATGACTTGATCACCGTCCATGACTTACAATTACCTAAAATAAGTACTTTCCGATTTGTAGTATCTACATATTTTTTCGTTTAAGTACGCCTTTATTAACTTTTTTCACACGTCAAGTTAGTGCTTCCCATCACAATAATGATAAAGCTGCTTTATTATACCACGGCTTTTTCTAGGTAGCGCTAATTCCCATCTTAACAATGATAACATACTTTAAACACATTTACCCAAAAATGCATTTACGGCGGTTGTATATATACATTATTCGATAGTTGAAAATTATGGGAAAATTAGCAGAGCGTGCGGTAAAACATTTTACCGCCTGTGCCTGACTTTTAGTCAAGAGAATTAGGTAAGAAGTTAGGTATTATTTGCAAGTGGCATTCTTTGCCCGCGCACGTGTTCTCTCCTTCCTACAATCTGGGGTCCTTTAAGAGAGGCTTGAAGAAGCATTTCTGCGGGACAGAAAGGTGAGGATGGTTAGTGTGGCAGTTTATAACAGCTGCACCAGTTATCTTCAAGTTTGGACTTTACCACCACTTAACATTTGGTGGGGTTGAGTTATTTACATACCTAGCTATAAAAAAATAAATAAATCGGTTTTTATATCAGGTGTGAACAGCAAGCAGCGAACATGTCCAGTCCATCAGCGGCCGCGATCCACTCATGCAGCGCTGGAGACCCCAGTCTTCGGCACCGCCACATCATCAGCCAAGTCTTGGGAGGAAGTGCCTGGCCCTAAACCTCTGCCGCTCTTAGGCAACACCTGGAGATTTGCGCCTTACATTGGTAAGTCTTACTCATTTGACCGCCATATGTTATTTTGCCGCGCTCGAGTAATTCCAAAATCCCCGCTTGGGCAACATAAGTTTTCATGGTCACCAATCCATGCTGGTTGCCCCACTTTTGCGGCTCCATAATTTATCGTTTTGTTTTCATAATTGTGTTCGTCATATTAATCAGGTACACTGAAACCTTTCTGGAGTCCTGTTTGGTTCTTGAGTTTGTGTACCTTTGCGACTACGCGCGTTAGCTCTTCTTCACGCTGCCGCACCGCAGTCTTGCGACAACCTTCGCTTTACATAGTTTTTTAAATTCGTTGGTGATCGTCCTGCATTTCGCGCATCATCTTTATCTCCGTAAATTATTGTATTATATCGCCGCAATGCACTTTACATCGACTTATAGAAATCCCGGGATTTCTGCACATCCCAAAGCATCGGGAAATCTGACTGGTAAGTGCTTCCTTGATTAATATTACGAGCACACATACCTACTACACAGATAGCCCACAGCTAGCTATCGTAGATTTTAAATATTTCAACGAACCATACCCATATATACTCCTTGTTTAACTTCATACTCATCACATGCCACTATTTTAAATGTAAATGTGTGTGTCTGTTAAAAGATATCTTCTAGACTGATTGGTATAGAGAGAGGATCCATTAATCCCAGAAATCATCCATCAAGGGGATGAAAGGGGATGAAAGCGAGTGGAAGTTTGTCTGAGAAACCAATTAAATCATGCATACAAAGTACAGCAAACGCTAGTCATTTAGTAAAACTAGTGGGTGGATGTGTTCAGTGAGGGGTTTTTTAATAGTTTCCATTATTGCTGACATGGCGGACCCTTTACAGGTTTCTTAGTTAATAAAAGTGGTCTTTAGAATTCAGTTTAGAATTCATTATAATTGCTAGCTTTTAAGGCATAACCCAATAAAAAATATCACGGCTAAATTTTATGCGTATCACCAAAAACAAACGAACACGATTATTGTGTTTATATATATAAAAAACTTAATTTAATCTATCCAAAGAGGATCTCAGGACCTTTTTAAGATTGATAATACTGTTATTAATGAGTTTTTTTTTTCTGAGCTTGGATGTAAGTACAAATAGTCCATAGATGCAAATATAAATGAATAAGAATATAATGTTTTTTTAACGGCACTTAAAATTGTTGCGTTTTTAGGGTTTCGTATCTCAGAAGGTATAAACGGACCCCATAAAAGAAGATCACTTTGTGTCCATTTGTCTGTCTGTCAATGCCATTGAAGTTATCTCGGGAACACGTGGAGGTATCGATTTTAAATTAAAACTATATACTACGGTCCCTTGAAGCTGTGAAAAATAATACTTTAAAGATGATGTAAAAAAAGATATAATGCGATTCAAATAAGAATAGGAAAGCCAATGACCTCTATCTGTCAAATGTCGCTTGAAAAGTACGGTTTGCAAAAAAATTCTTTCTTACAGTCTTAGTAAATAAATATTATTAAAAATCGGTGGTTTCTTTCCTCAATCAAATACATACGAACATATTTCGAATTAAAGAAAAACAAGTAGTAAATAAATGTTATCAAAAAAATCTGATGATTTTTCTCACTTAATCTTAGTTTTGCTCACTCTACTATTTGGTTTGAATTGACAGCTATGACATCACAATATAGCGCCCAGTCGGTCCTATTCTTAGTTGAATCGCATTATACGGCCAATTTGTACGGAACTCTCGGTAGGCGAGTCCTACCCGCACTTGTTTTTCTTCAATTTGAAAGTTTTGGTACAAATGTAAAACGAATTAGCTTAGGTGCGTAACACAATGGACAATGTTTGGTGCTGCATTGTAAGATAATAAAACTGTGCAAATATTCCCACATATTCACTTCGTCATTGCCATATTTAAAAAAACCGTGAATCAGCGACTGTCGTGTGAATCCGGCGTGTTTGATAGTTTATGATATCTCAACAAATAAAAAAAACGACGCGTTGCACTCCGGGAGTGCCGGCAGAAGTGAAAACTTGAATATTAACGTTTTGCATTTTTGATATTTTTGCACGAATTGCTTTAACTATCAGTATAAAAGTACTATCATGTATGTGGTAGAATACAATATTTATTTATTGCGCTATCGTACACAAACATGACAATTTATATTTTTAAAAAAGTTTATCTCTCAGAAAAATCAACTTACATAAATCACGTTTAAGCGCACTTAGCGACATCTATAGTAAAGAAATCAACTTACACGAATCACATTTCAGCGCACCTAGCGACATCTATTGTAAAAAAATGCATTTTCTTCGCAATAAATTATTATTATTATAATACGGTAAAATAAAATATTACTATGTTTCGTCCAATACAGTTTAAATCGTGTTTAAATCTAAAGAAAAGTTATAATAGAAAAAAAAAACTTTTTCTATTATAACTTTTCTTTAGATGAAATTGTTTCATTTGCATATTTGTAACAAACTACTTTCAGAGTGTGCGTTATTTCAGATATACTTGTATAATCATAGACTAGTATTATGATTTTGCAATTCAATATTTATGACCGAAAAAATCTTATCAAAGTGGCATGTTGTTTAATTTTATTGCTGTAGCGCGCTATCCCAAAGAAGGAGACTTAGATCAACTTTTAATAAAACAAACTAAATATTCTCCGACTCTGGCCGTCATAGAGGGAAAATCACACGTGCTAGTACAAAGGAAAATAAAAAAGGCCTCCTTGTCCCACTTAAAGCTACTTACTTTTCGTGGCGGCGAAGCCTACGAGCATCTCAGAAATATGTATGTCATCTCAGTGTTCCGCTGATTAGTACTACGATAACAACTTTTAACAATGGAAATACTTGTGGCATATAGCAGCAACGTGTGTGCATCACAATAATCACAATTGAGGTATCGCCTTGATTTATACGCGAATATTTTGGTAGAACATGAATGCCGGCGTATAGCCAGACATTTTTAGCACGGTCGGAAACAAAGTATCTGTGTAACCGCCGCGTCCAAACAGAGAGGCTAAAGAATTCACGGAAAAAAAGTACGAATTGGGATTTGTCCCAAGTTTGCCAAGAACAAAATAAACAAAAGTGTTGGACAAGCGAAGAATACAAAATGGGATATGATAAGATTTTTTTGTGTGACAAAACTCGGTGGGACGAACTCGGAATAAAACTTCTTAGCCGAGTCGGCTTAGAATAAAGCGGCAGTACTGTCACGCACACATAAACATTACCATTAGAGGTATTCCCAAGCAGTTATAGTACGTTTTTTTATTCATGTGGTTTTAGTTTCAAGATTAAGATTCAGAATTAGTTCGCAACTAGCGACGCGTGTTGTCAAAATCGACGGTATTAAGATGCAAGACAGTGGGTTGGAATATAATAATAATAATAATAATAATAATAATGTTTATTGACATTATACTTTTTACAATTTATGTTTGATTCCCCTGTATTCCAAAATAGGCCTTAGCCTGTAGTATGGAATCCAGTGTCCTCTCCAATTATGTACTTACAATATAATCTTAGCAGTTGTACTGGGCATAACAAAACATTACTATTTTTCTTCACAGTAAAGATAAATAGAAAAAATAACTAAATTATATGTGTGTGTATAGTGAGTGTGGGTGTAGGTGTGCTTGCGTGTGTGTATGTGTGCGTGTGTGTGTGTGTGTGTGTGTGTGTGTGTGTATGTGTGTGTGGGTGTGTCTATGTGTGTGTGTGTGTGTGCCTGGGTGTTGCGTGTGTATGTAGATGCGTCTTGTCTTAAACCACATAAATATCAAGTAATAATTTATAAACACTGTGCTATACTTCCTATATCCGGGTGTTGTCAATCAGTAGATCCTCCACACCATCATAATCTATGTCGAACAGCCAATCATTAATAAATTTTTTTAAGCTAAAATTACTACACTTTTTTATCTTTTTAATGTTATTTAATTTGTTGTAAAGTCGTGGTGCCATATATGTATATTGACGACGTGCAAATTGACTTTTGACTGAGGGGATATGACAGCGATCCCTCCTAGTAAGATCATTAGGTAGCTGTGGGATAACATAACGGTGGTATCTGCGAATACTTTCAAAAATATAAAGTTTTCTTACAGAAAGTACTTTGAATAATTTGTAAATGTCTGTTGTAGGATGTCTATAAGGGAGAAACATGACTACTTTTAAAATTGATCGTTGTGCTCGTTCTGCCATAATTAGGTGAGTTTTTGCTGCACCACCCCACACTGGTATGCAATATCTAATTATACTCTCACACAAGGCTTGATAAATTTGTTTTAGGAGCTGCAGATTGGCAACATTCCTAAGATTTTTAAATACGTAAATAAGTTTTCTTATCCTTAGTTGTAGTAATTTAATATGATCTAACCAACTCAATCTGTCGTCAATAACTACTCCCAAGTACTTAATATTGTTAACTTTAGACAGGTAAAGACATTTACAATTCCCTCCTTCACCTCTGTTACATGGATAAGTATGAATTCTTAGTTTATGGTCATTGTTAGGGCTTCCGACAGCAGTTTTACTAAAACACATATATTTGGTTTTTGTTATGTTTATTGATAAAATACTGTCCTCAAGCCATTTCGTGACTTGTTTTAGTCCCTTTTCAGCTGATTCAGTGACTGTTTGCCAACTAGAATTATGAAACATGAGGACAGTATCATCAGCAAACATACTCATGGTGCCGTTCTCAAAGTTGATTTTGCCCAGATCATTGATATAGACCAGGAATAAGGTTGGTCCTAAAGTACTACCTTGTGGCACTCCATAAATACAGTTGGAAAAGTCACTGAGGTACTTGCCCATGCGAACCAACTGTCTTCTGCCTGTCAAGTAACTTTCGAACCATTTCAATGCTACTCCTCTTATTCCGACACCTTCTAACTTAGATAACAGTATAGGAATGGAGACAGTATCGAATGCTTTCTGAAGATCTAGGAAAACACTTATACATTTTTCGCCCTTATCCGTCTGAGATGTTATCC